TTGCACCCACACGCCATTCCTATTTCACTAAACATTTCGTGTGAAATATCTCCTCAATATCGTGAAGTTTTACTTCACATTCGGTGTCGTGTAAAATTCAAATCGCAACACCCACCCTACACAGTCCTGACAAATGCCAATCTATTTTGCAACCAAAGAGGGGGCGTCGCGGAGGGGCGGTGGCCCGCGGGGGCGGCTCCCCCTTTGAGAGGAGATCCTCGGCGCCGAGTGACGGCTGCAGCCGTGCCCCTCCGGCGGCGCGTCCCACGTCCAATAAGAGCCGAAATAACCGCGGTGGAACAACCTCGCGACCTTGCCAAGCTCACCAACATCGAAGCCGGTGATGGGTGCCGAACCGGAACACCGGAGCACTGAACCGGAACCACATCATTAACCGCAAAGAAATAACATCGCCATGTGTGCCAAGTTTTGAAAGTTCTTTAGATCTTGTAAAGACAAAGAATATGCTGCAGCGTCATGTGTTTATTAAGCGCGTTGTAAGCTTATTCAGCGTTGCTGTTAACATCGCATTTCAGAATAGCAAATAGCAATTTGTATTAGTGGTTGACGAGGTTACAGGTCCGCGCGAATTCGAGTTCGACGATAAGCTTCAGAAATAAAGAAAATGCTCAGTACTACATAAGTTGGTAAAATTGAAAACACCATGATGTGACAACAAATATTATTGTCAAATGTTAATTTTATGTTAAAAAATGAATAAACAAAATGCCATTTATATGTTAGAAAATAATAATAATTACAGGTACGTCAAGTTTTGAGATTCCTTACATGACGTTGAAATCAGTTCACTTTATCACCTGGAAATATATTTTAAATGACTGAATTTTTTTTAACTTCATACGCAGAGCACATTGCCTTGTCGTTACATTATATTCACCAACAGAAACTGGGTGAGAAATGGCCCAATAGTAAAATAGATAATAAATTAGAGCAATCAAAAGCAAGAGAAGTAAGAAAGCAATATGCTCAATGGCATGACATATGTCTATTTATAAGTATTTGCGTAAACACCTCGCGTCATAACGTGTTTGATAAAATGTCAAAATGATAGTTGAACAGGAGTTTGCGAAATTGGAGTAGTTGCTCATCAACATTAATTTGAAAATATTTATCTTTGTAATTGTTTGAAAATACATCCGTTATATGTGTTTTTAAATATTTATTATTTTTAATTGAAAGAGTTGTTAATAAAATTAATTAATTTTCATTCAATGACACAATTTTTATTACCATTACAATTTGTCAATAGTATAAGAAAGAAAATAAAACTGTTTGAGAAGATAAAGGAGAAAAATGTTCTTTCTAGGAAATCAAAATATATATTGTTTATTTACAAAAATAAATAAATTGGTATTTCTTGTTCATATCAAAATAAGGTCACTAAAATAGTTCCATCCTTCGTTAAAATTTAAATTTTGATTCGTTTCGAATTTATCTAATATTTTATTTCATAAAGAGACGAAAGTTGCCTCTAGAAAGAGACAATAACAACTCTTTACCAAGTGCTCTCAAAATATCTTAAAACATAAAGGTATGTGAAGTTTTAAGTTCAAAATCGCAATTACTATACATCAACGGTATCTTAATATGAAATGTTAAGTTTAAGCTATAACATGACGCAATTTTCATATCACATTACAGTACATCATTAATATATGATACGAACTGTTTTTGATATGATGAGGCAAATATATCTAAAAAGGAATTAATATATTAAATACTAAAATTCAAAAGTCCAGCGGATCGGCCTACCCCTAGCTTTTAAATGGCTTCATCCCCGAAGTTTAAGAAACTATGAAACAATAATTTATGTCACAAATTTGGTAAAAATTACAAGCGCAGGTATAATCATCATTGCCTATTGCATATTATTGAAATATAATTCTTGTATCGCAATGATGCACTCGTAATGTTAAAACATCTAAACACCATGCTACCCAAGTTGTTGACCGACATTCACGAAGGCATCTCCCTTTGATCTATCTATACATTCTAATTTAGAATGGGACAGGGCATGTGTGCAGAGTGCAGGACCCTTATAATTTTAGCACTAGCCGTAACGAAGGTGGTAGTAGTAGTCTATTTATATTTACAAGACCTACATTCTTGCGCTATTTATACCGAGTGTCAATTTAAGAGCTCCGTATGTCGGTTGCAGTTTAATGAGTTGTGATATTTCTCAGAACGTCTTGCGCCATAAATTCTAGGATTAGTAAAAATCAACGCAGTTATATCTGACACTAAACATGAGATTATGCCGTTTTGACTGGTCGATTGTCCGATTTTGCCGGCTAGCTAATGGCGGTCCCCTTGCCTGGGCCTTGTTCAATTCCAGCGCTTGGGGAGTAAGAGACACACGTGGCAAACATAAAGTACACATATTTCCTTCATCGTAACTAGCAAACTCCGCCTTCTTGAGATTTTCTTCGTCACACAGATACAGAAACTGAGACGGTTCTGAAGGAAACCAACTCTATTTTTGTCATGACCGGGAATTGAACTCGAGAGCGCACCACGGGAAGGTACTACACTGCCTAAGAGCGATCCCAGAAGCCGTCAGATTATGATAGTACACTAGAATTGAAACACTAGTATACTATTGTATATACAAGTATGCCTATATCAATAAATTATGTCATAATTATAAGGACAGTACAATGTTTAGATGTGACAAATTGTAACACTGCTGCTCAGTGTCGAAATGATTATTGATTTTTATTTCTTTAGAAAGTGAGTCACCTGAAGGTCCAAAGATTTTGACCTAAATCTTATTTTTCTCGATGCTTATTCTTTAAGGTTGATTAAAGGCGAGCTTAAACTGCTATGATAGAAGCTTATTGTACTTGTATCGTAATTGTCAATTAGTGAATAGTTTATTGCATTAAATTCACATTAAATTTATGCAAGCACTAGTTTTGGAAACTTGGGAAGCGAAGTGACACTGAGGATATTTTTGGACCGCAATATAAAATATTACGTTTCAACTAAATATAATTCGACGTAATAGCATGCCTAAAAGCATTACAATGAATAGTCAATAGCATAGCGAACTAGCGGTGGTACAACAGAACATACTTTTCGCATTATTTCTAACTTAAGCGATTTTAGAATGTTCAGGTCGTTTAATGCAAATCGTATTTGAATCGTTTTTATAAGCGTATTTTACTCTATCTGATAAGAATTTATTCAAAAATTTGGAACCATTTCTGACAAAAAATTGAAAATGTCCTTGAGGCTTCATGTAAAATACTTAGTTTCAAATTCAAAGGGCTGCGACATCTGCCACACCAATGGGGGAATACCAATTTTAGTAAAAATGCTGCATAAGGGTAGGCCCTAGGGTTGTTCACAGACAGACGGACAGATAGACGGACAGATGTTTTGCCGTAAACCCAATTTAACTGCATCGACTCATAAAACGTGAATTATGACTGGAGTACGTGTCAGAGGAAGTAATTTACTATTCAAAAGAACAAGAATTATCCATTTTTTCGATATCGGATCCTACAATACGAATTTTCCGACCGGAAAGTTTGCTATTTTCCCCAGCAGCATTGTATAACCTTCCCTGTACTACGTATGTAGTATGCGAAAAAGTAATAATTGTGAGTTCTAACCATTGGATGAATGGATAGAAGGTGATTGACGAATTAGATGCTGTACGCAGTGAGTGATGAAAGAATAATAAGATATTGCATAGCGCCTTGAGTCTAAGTTGTCTTTAGGTGTGTTCTGCCGCGAAAGTCATGATTCCGCCCCAGAAGTGCGCGGCCGTAATATTATTT